GGGTGGGAAATGGTCGTTTAAACTTGTTTTGTCCCAGACAGACGACTGTAAGAGGAGGTTCAACTGTAGAGATACTTTAATTAATCAGTGCTGTTGCAGAAAATCACTCGAAACATCGGTGTTGTAAATACTGATACAAGCAGAAAACAATGTCAGTGATGTCACCGGATGTTACAATCATCACCATCAAGTGCCAGATGTGCCACAGACATTGGCGATCATGGTTCTCCTTTCATTACATATTCGGGTGCTCTCAAAAAAGCTAACTTATCCTGAACTTTCCTCGTCACCCATCTGTTTGGGCTCTCCAAGTAGGTTGCTCTCGGTCTACCCGTGTCTCCTTTTGCCTTCAAATTTGCCAGTTAGAGCTAAATGCTTACGGACTTTATGTCTATTCAAGTTCCCCTTAAACTGCAATTATCTTTTCGTGGTGGTTTATCAGCGAGCGTCCCACCTGAGTTTCTTCTAATGCTACCTCATTTGATTTCCTTTTCCATTGCAGACGTTCTCAACAGCTTCCTTAGAAACCATTTCTGTTGCTTCTATATTATTTTCACAGTCTTTCATGATTGTCCAGCGCTCACAGCTATGATATGTGACGCTGAGAGAGAGAGAGAGAGAGAGAGGAAAAAAGCTGCGTTATAGATGTGGCACAACCACTGAATGGCCAGAAAACGCTGAAAAGCAAAAGAGACGAACAATGAGATGTGCTTCTTTTTCTTTGACAAAACAAAATCAAATTCCGCCCGGGAACAGATAAAAACTTCGGGGACAAAAGGTTAACTCTCATTCCCTAGTCATTACCCATGAATGATTTTCATTTTCATTGTGGTGCAGAGGCGTTAAACTCAACGAAAAGGGTATACATCTTGCAATAAGTATCTAAAAGGACATGAGCACTATCACCCATGAATCTTGCAATGACAGTGCTAACATTGAGTCCAAGCAGCAAAATAAATCTTCTTTCCATTGACATGAAACGAATCCCTGCAAAGGCTTATTATACCCGCTGTTTTCATTTATTTTTTAAGAGACGACAAGTACAAGTGCCAAAAGGAAAACGATTTTAATATTAACTTCAAGGCCTTTGATCAGTACGAGTCGTAAAAGAAAAGAACAACCCCCACCCTAGGGGAAACAGAAGGGCATGTAACGGTGTGTGTGTGTGTGTGTGTGTGTGTGTGTGTGTGTGTGTGTGTGTGTGTGTGTATGTCCGACCCTCGTCCCCCAGTATCCTGTGTCCCCCCGTGTATCCCTCCCCTCTCTCCCTCCCCCTCTCCACCAGGCGTGGAGGCATGAGGCGCGGGCCTGTGTGTACGCTCTGCTCTAGCTAGCCCGCGCAAGCCGACTCAGCGAGTCACTGACGACAACATCGCTTTTCTTCTTAGCCTTCGACGAGCCCACCACCAACCAACCACCAAAACAGTCGGAGAACGGAGGAATAAAAGTTTTTGAAAAGAATAGAAGTAGATCGGGGGAAACAAACGTGACTCGCCTGGATCCCTTTGAGATTGTTGATTTGGTAGCCCATGTCGTGTTGCTTACCTGTGTGTGCTTGAGCATTCTACGTGCGTGCGCTATGCGTTGTTAGCAGTTTAGCAGTGAGCTTTATTCCCACCTGGATTGAGGACGTGCTTCAGTACTCATCGAGTGACCAAACGAGGTACGTGTTCCGATTCCGTGGTTAAATATAAAAAGGTGTTAGTGTTTTGAATGCTTTGCCCTAGTTTTCCTTCCCCGAGTTTGGTTCCTGAACTTGGAAGTATAAATATGATGGATGGATAGTACCTTAACGCCTCTTGGGTGTTATTTTTATTTTCTTCTTCAAATTCAATCAATGTCTCGGTTCATTGCGTGTTGCTCTCAATTTTACATATACTGTTTAAATTAAATAGTTAAGAGAGTGTTTGTGTGTGTCAGCTTTCTAAGCTCCGTTCTTAGTTCCGTACTGGCGAATGAATGAGAAGGCGAAGCTTGTATCGAACATTCCCGTTGTTTTGGCCAAGCCTCTGTTGTGTGTAAATCACACAGATAACAAGACACCCGCCCACCCTCTACTTTTTCACTTTCTCTTGGCTGTTTCTGACCCCTCCTCTCTCTCTCTCTCTCTCTCTCTCTCTCTCTCTCTCTCTCTCCCTCTCTCCCTAGTCTCCCTCTCTCTCTCTGTCTCTCTGTCTCTCTGTCTCTCTGCCTCTATCTCTCTCCCATTTTTACTTTCCTTGCCCCTCCCTCCCCTCTCTCCCTCCCCCCTCCTTCTATCTAATTGTCTACCTGTCTATGTCTCTCTCTCCCCTCCTCTCTCTCTCTCTCTCTCTCTCTCTCTCTCTCTCTCTCTCTCTCTCTCTCTCTCTAACTGTCCGTCCACACGTTTTTCATCTTCCTCTCGATTATTATTTTCAGTTGGAGAAATACCCAC